GGGGGGATTTTTTTGTCGTTATGCGTGTGCCTGCCTGACTGCACATGCTCACTTGTACCACATACAAGTACACACACGCCATGAAACTCGACTGGAAAGCAGCTAAGAAGCCATCCATGATCAAGCTGCCTGACTTTGCCCAATACTTCACCAAATCGACAGCAGCAGCAAAAGTGCCTTTGACAAAGAGCTCTTCTGACCTTACTGTCCTATCCCTGTTATGAACTGGGTCCCCTTCCTCCCCCTGCTGTTCCTCGAGCCATCTGGCCAAGGAGCCCCCTCCTCCCTGCCATGGCCAGGGTGCAGCATGGGAGCTCCCGTTCCAGGTCAAGTCGGGTGTGGCTTGCAGTCTACACACCCCTCTTGGCTCCTCAAGGCCCTCCTCATAATAGCCCCAAGCCAATTAGCATTGCTCCCATCTCGAGTGCACAGCATTCTCAGAACAACCAGGAGTGATGTCACAGTACCCTAGAATGCAACTAGCCACCTCCCTGGCAGGTGCCCTACACAGACTTTGAACAGTGACTCTAGCACTGGCTATTACATCACACACAAAAATAATAATAATAACTCCAAAGCTGGTGTCAAGCACACACAAAATACAGAGTTGTTTATGTTGAGTGATTTTGACTGGGGAAAAAAAGGAGCAACTCACAGTTAATAAGCACATATGTGCCACACACGCAGCTAGTTTGCAGCACAGCTGAAGCTGGAGCCAATCTGCAGGATCCCAAGTCAGTTAGCTTTTCAATTTAACGGCTAGCTGAGAGCTAAGTCCTAAGTACATAGGCCTCAGAATAACAGAATAGGTGAGTATGGTGGGGTGGAGTTATGACCACAAGGGGTACCCCTGGGCTTGGGAGGGGTGGGGAAGAGGCAGTCTATCGCTAAGAACCTTAGGAGACCACTGAAAAGGGGAGGTGAAATCAAGGCAAATTCCTTTATTTCCCAAGTGTGCCAGGGGTAGCCCCAAATCGGTGCTGTCATATTAGTATCAAAGGTGTTGGCCTTTTCAGGCAACGCACACTCTGCTATAAGCATAAAGCAAGGGATTCAGTTCACATGACCTATAGACACTGCTCAAGAGGACAGTGACGACCATCCAAGGACCACCCACAAACTTCCCAGAAAGAAGGTTCTTCCCCAAGATTCAAAGTAATCATTGGCAGGCGGCTCTGCACAGTGGAAACTCACTCGAAGGCGAAGAAGAGCGTACATGTCCCCAGGATGAGGAACAGGGTCAAGTAGAAGATGCCCTTTTGCCGGGCCATCATGACACGGCCATCGCAGCAGAAGGTGTTCCTGCCTGGGAGTTTCTCCCATTTCCGTGTCACCTTCTTTCTCACCACCATCACAGACATGACTGGAATTCCTGCTCCAGGTGCGCTTTGCGATTACAAGATGGAAGAAACAGAGGCTGAGCCCAACTTCAAACTCACGTTGCCCGCTATTGCTGCTGCTGGGTCAAACATCATCAAAAGTCCAACTTCCAACCCTAAGAAAAAAGACACACACAAAATGAGGTAGGAACATGAAAATGCAGTTCAATCGCCCTTTCCCGAGGCAGAAGATAAGCCTGAAAGGGTGGGGGAGCGGGAAAAGTTTATTTCCAGTCTATGCCTGTCCTCTAAAGAGAGAAAAAGTTAAAGGTTCTCCAAAGAGGAGGAGGAGGAGGGGAAGGGGGGAGGGGGAGGAAGGAGAGGGCTAGTATATCTTCTTCTTTTTTTTAATGTATTTTTATTGATTTCAGAGAGAGATAGAAACATCAGTGATGAGAGAGTCATCGATTGGCTGCCTCCTGCATGCCCCTGACTAGGGATCGAGGCCACAACCAGGGCATGTGCCCTGACCAAGAATCGAACCGTGAGCTCTGGGATCCTAGGTCAATGCTCCAGGGCTGAGCCACACCGGCTGGGCTCATGTATCTTCTTAAATAAACCCCTATGTTTCCAATATAATACTGATGATTTGTTCATCATAGAACCTTGGAGCTGGAAGGATTTTTATAGGTGATAGCCCCAATTAATGGGTTGGAAGTGAGTCAACTGAAGACCAGAGAGAGAAAAATAACCTATCCAGGGTCACACAACCGCAAAGCTAAGCCAAAAAAACATGTCTGCAGACTTTTAGTCCTGGGAACTTTCCACTGTACCACATTGTTCTATAATCATCATTAAAAGGACTAAAAATAATAGTTTCTGTCCTTAAGGAGCCACTCTGTCCCTTCCTCCACTCCTTCACCTTCTTTCTTCAATTAGCCACTCAAATATGAATCACACCAGGGAACAAGTCACCCTCTGGCAGCGCTGGGAGGTTCTGGACAGTCTGGACACATATCCAGGTTGTATTTACTCAAAACAGATTTCCCCTAATCAAGTGCTTTGTAACTTCCTGAGTTCGGGAAATGAACCAATCTTGCTGGTCTAGCCTAACAGTTGTGGGAATCTGAATGAAACCACTTCACAGACCTGTAGGTGGAAGGCTGGCTTAAACAGGA